TCACTTTACTAATCTAACTAATCACTTTACTAATCTACCATTCACTAATCAAACGTTTCGACCCATTGTCGGGTCATCCTCAGTGAGACTAAGATCGATCGAAGATCGAACAACAGAATAACAGCAAATAGTACGATGGAAATGATTGCAGCTACGAATAGGCAGCCTCCCTCGTTGTCAATCGCGACGATGTATCGATCTACAACACGTCGTGTTGTTAAAGCAAAAATTCTATTTGTCGTCTTACTTAGCTCGTCGCGAAGAAATCCGATGTGTCATGCGAATAATGGTCGCGCTAAACACGCACGTAACGCATTTGCAGAATTGTCAAGACGATAGAATCGCGATGAAGGCCCGTAAAGATCGGCTCTCTGGCGATTTTGTTGGAAACCGAATCTCTGGAACGTCGATCCCAGCAATTCGCGCTCCCCATTTGGTAACAAAAACCGCGCGGTTTCCGATCGATTCGCCTCACGCACGAGAAACTATCGCGGTTCTCCCTCGAGAAAAATTAACGGTCACGCCGCCGATCGGCTCGCCGAATGTCGTGCTGATGACATTTTTATCACTGCGTTGAGAAAACGTAGCGTTTCTGCTTCCCTGTGCTTCGCGCGTAAGAATGAGTAAATTCTGAGAAATTATCAAACTTCAATTTTGCATCCGCCATTTCGCGCGCGCTATTTTTTATGTTCTATAAAAGAATTTTCAACTGGAATTTAGATTCCATGGGTCCTAATAATATCTAAATAATGTCTCTTAGCATAGTTGAATTACAGTTGAATGATGTTATTCTTTTAAGTTTTGAATCCCGCCACCTAGATTCCGCCATTTTGAATTATAAAAATCTAATAACGTATTCGTAATCAGCGACTCCTAAAACCCTCGTGTACGAAGTTTCACAAAAAAATGGTTCAATAGAAAAATGTATGCTTCAAAGGGTTAACTGTATCTACAATGTAACTTTTGGCATGTGTATTACACATTTTTATACCAACTTTTTGCAAAAATAATTTGTTAGTAAAGTGTCGATCGGATCGACTCAGATTCGAGGATGCGCTTTACTTTCTACAAACCGTTTTTACATTTCTTTTCACGATCACGGACGATACTGATTTCTCCGCGTCGCTTTATGGCGTTACAAATCGGTCCAGGATTCCGGGCATACCGGCTGATTTGAGATAATCCTAGCTTCTCTTGACGGATTTGTCGCACGCGCCCGTAAATGGCGCGTGTTCCAGCCACTGTGCGCTCTCCACGCGGACGAGATCAGGTTTTGCCGCCGTTGTTGCTGCCGCTGTTGCTATTGCCGTCGTATCGTCGCCCGCTGTTCCTGGTGTCGGGCCCGTATGCGCGCACGTCCAACGACCGGACGAGGAATTGTGCAAAAACTTGAAAACCCCGAGTGAACACGCGCTCGCACGCACGGCGTTACGCAATCCTGCGAATCCCGTTGTCCCCCTTCATCGAGAATTGTCCGAGAATCCGTCCGTGCGCAGCTGACCGAGTAAACACACGACGACCGGACCAGGACCTGGCGACGCAATCGCTATCCGCGAAAGACGAAGTCGTCCGCGGCGCTTTAAGAACGTCGGCCACTTTTCCCTAGTCTCGAGGCGATCCGAAACCCGATATGGCAGAAGCGCGGCACCGGATCAATTACACCGCATGAACGACTTTGAGCGAGTCGATCGAACATGCAATGTCCGTGATACACGTAAATCATATCGAACACCGTTGCGTAACGCACGCACGCGACTTTTCTCACTTTCAGACCCGATCGAGCGTCAACTTTTTTTTTCGAGAAACTACACGTTGGAATTACAGAATTCTCAAATCCGTTCAACCAAATCAACACTTGTTGCAAATAATATATTTTGCTCGTCGTACCATTATCATAAATGGTAAAGCAGCATACGCGGAAAGTCTATCCATTTTTGCTAGGAGAAAAAAAAGACCAACCCATTTTGAGGCCCACAATTAGTAATAGCATTATTTGGATTGTTCGTAACACTCTAATCTTTTACGAATTGTACCCCGCGTAACTAAAAATCGCAATTAGCTCTTCTACCAATATCCAAGATTTTAAAGTAACACTAATCAATTCTCTCAATTATGTAGTTCTGTCGATGTTCAGTAACGCAAAGATTATTTTCACTTAAGAGGCACCAACCGTAATGTTAAGTTTGCTTAACTACAAAAAGAAAAGGTCAAAATTTTTCCCAGAGTAGAGCTACGAACAATCCTGACAATTCGATTACTAATTGTGGGTCCCAAAATGCTTACCAAAATGAGTTGCTGTCTTTTTTCCCCAGAGTGGAGTATTCAAAATTTGCACCCGATACATTAATGATTCCAACGCCAGTAAGAAGCGAATATACGCGAAGGATATGTTCCTGTATGATCGACAAATCGTCGGCGAAGCGCCATTTGGCGTCGATACCGATGGCTCGTATATACTTGAGAGTCCCGCGCGCAGAATGGCATCGTAATCTCTTTCACGCAGTCGTGGCGACGGTTAAAGATCATCTGGTGTACGAGGAGAGTTATTTCCAACACATTCGGATCGTCGCGATTCAAGATTGCCGGCAGAAAATTGCATTATCGTTCAACGCTTCGTTCAACGCGCATTTCGGACGTGTGCGCGTTTCGCGGGGATTACGAACCCGTCACCTGTCGCTCGTTGATTACGATCTCGATCCATCGAGTCACGATCTCTCCCTAACGTAGCACGGTCTATGGATTTAACCAGGTAACTACTATAATCAATTTGGAGACCAGGGGATTTGGTTTACGACTCAAAATTGATAAATGAGAGACTCCCCGAAAGAGACAAGCCGTGATTGCAGTCACGTCGGCTTGGACTAACCGATTTAAGCGTACCGATAATTATGACATTTATATGACGGTTTCCGAGCGCAGCCAAGCGAAAAGAACCGTGTGATCCGTTAATCCTTGGAATTGCCGATGCTTCATACGAACAACTTTCTGCACTCAATCGTCGTGTTACTCCGGATGACTCACAGCAATGACACCGATGCGATGATCATCCGGAAGTCCAGCGAGTCATCGAGTGCCACCGAACTCGATCGAGTCGTGGGCCGTGAATTTGGCCACTGCGGACACTTGGTCGTACTTGGACATTTTACCGCTACGCGCGAACTTTCGGGATTTTAGTCCGTTACCAGCCCGCCCACGTGGCTCCTCGGTCAGGTGGAACCCAGAATCCGTGTCCTTCGGCAGCCTCCACGGCGATACGACACGACATTTTTTTTTTCTTTACATTCCACCTTCCGCATCTTGTTCCGCAACACACGCGTGCGTTATGCGCTAAATCGATCGTGACGCAATATCGTAATAACGGGAGAAGCGTGGGAACGCGGACAGATACGCGAGATTGCTTCCTGTGATCTCGTAACATATGCGATAACTACACTTTAACAAGGCACGATCGTGCTCAATCTTAAAGACGATTCAGTCTGATACGGCTGAGAGCTGAATCTATACGTCTACGTTGGAATTTAGTTCAGGCCAATTGCGAAGGTAAATGCATTTTTTTTTGTTCGAATTTAATATTGATGTTAACTTCATTTGCAGTACGGCCCATTCCGTATGCGAATTAAATGTTAATGTAATTCGTCGCTTCATTTATGTCCTTGAAGAAACAAACCATACACCCTGAGACTGTGGTCAGATCAGAAATTTCTCCCGAATACAGAAGCCTAATCGAACGATATATAACCGACCTATCGAGCGCGGACGTTGCGCGCTCGCGTTGCGGCATCTCTCGAAATTTCCGGAGGGTGCGAGCGGCGAAAGACTGCAAAGCTGCGTCGTAAATTAGTACTCGATGACCGTGCGAGCGAGACCGCGCGCACCTTTCGAAGCAACGGGTCTTCTCGAGGCAGTTTTATCGTCGGCCGACAGGCGTTTAACTTTACGAGCGGCCCCGCCACGTATATACTCTATCTCCTCCTCCTCCTCCTCCTCTTTCTCCTCCTCCTCTCCTCCTCCACCTCGTCTTCTCGCTTTCTTTCTCCAGCTCCTTCCGCTCCCTTCACCCTTTGCACGTTCTCCTGCGTGCTCTTCGTCACTCAGCCCTTCTCTTTCTTCCTCGCGCGCGCCTCTCTTCTAGGTACAGGCATGCTAATTCACGTGACGCGCGTAACATTAAACCCTGACGTTTAATCCGGTAGAAACGCGCGTGGCTTACACACTGGCACCGACCGTCGACCCTTTATATGGTTCGGTCGTATGGAGGTTTCTTTCTCGTCGACGTATCTGGTAATATCCGGTGCGAAAGTACGGCGCGAGCCTCTATCGCGATAATGCTTCGTTTGTCTCGATAATCCGATTAATTTATATGGATGAGCGCCGCACCGCCGGCTCTCCGCTATTCTCTGGACGTGTCGAGGGTCGGAGGTCGGGTCGAGAGCCATCGCGCGAAAATTCACGCTCGTCCAACGACCGTAACCGCGCAGCCGTTGGGTATCCGATGCGACGATAAGTACGTTTGTAGATCAATTTAACGAGCAACACGCATTAATTTCTACGAATGCGTCAGCGAAATATTCCGTTCCTTAATCTCACCGTGTGATTGTAAGTGGCGGGAATCTGGAGATATCAAGTGCCAAGGCGCTTTGAATGGTTATACGAAGTCGATGGTAACGCTGTTATCCAAGCGCTAAATCCGTCATTTCTTTTTGCATGAAATTTTCCCAAGTATCGGATTTCTCGCCACTTACTGCTGTTGATTGATTTTTAAATACGAGAAAGTGTAACGTGCGATCGCCGCCTCGCGGCAGCGAAGAGCGTTATTACGAAATTATAAAAATATAAATTAAATACGTTCTTAGTATATTTTTATACGATTTTTAAATATAATTTTTATATACCAAACGTATGAAATATATTTTCGCCTACTTTTTGAAATATACATTTTTCGTGGGTGGGAATATTACGATGCGAACGATTAATGGGATTATTATAATCTTTTGTTACAGTCATTCTTCGGTCGCACGTATAACAACCCCACTAACGTGACGGCGTGTAAGAACGGCGGCAATTGCATAATTAACAAGAGGAACCGGACGGCTTGCAAAGCCTGCCGGTTAAAGAAATGCCTGGACGTCGGTATGTCCAAGTCGAGCTCGCGCTACGGGCGGCGTTCGAACTGGTTCAAGATCACTTATTTCTCGGACCAGATAAGGCGATGTAGCCAAAATACGAACGAGATGGCATCGCTCCGTCGTTCCGGTATCGCTTCGTCCTTTCGTTACCAACCGCAAAGTGACGGCAGCAACGAGACGGACAATGGCCCGTCGACCAGTCAGGAAAATCCAACGATCCCGTATCCCTACCACATACCATCGCCCGCGATGCTGCAGAGATCGGACGGATCGCCGCATCCATCGTCCGACGACATAGCATTGTACCAGCAGCTCTATCTGCGCAATTGGTACTTGGGGGAACATCAGCCGTCACTGTCATCCGTGACAACGCCCCCGCCGACATCGAGGGAAGTCTCGTCATCGCCCTTCGACAATCGTTCGCCGCGGCAACAGAGTCCGTCCGCGGAGGCTTCCGCAATATTCACTCCGGGGACATCGTTTTACTCATCGGAGTGTCACCGATCACCCGTGCCGGCGGAATCAATATCGAGAAACACGAGAAACGCCGATGGATCCGAGAGCGAGTCCAACGATGAGGACCATCTTCGCGACGTGCAGTCCAGGAGCAGTTCAAGTCGATCGCCGTCTACACCCACGAGAGCAAACGAGCAGGAGCCGTCCAAACCGCGAGTATCGATCAATGGCATGCTCATGCTGACAGGTCAACATTCCCTCTTATTCCCAGGGGGAATGTTCACGTCGGAGACACATTCGTTCCCGTCTACATGGAGGTATAACAATCTACTTCTGGTCAATTCTAATCCTAGTAATTCCACCGGCGATGAACCGATGGACCTCAGCATGCGGGCGAGTGGCAGTCCGCCGCGGTCCAGAGAATCACCGGAGAAGGAAGGGAAAGAGGAAGAACGGGACGAAAAGAACGACAAGTCGCCAAAGGAAGAGACCACGGCATATCCGCTCGATTTAACGCTTTCCACCGGTACGTCCTTGACGGCGAATTGTTTTTGAGGGCCGTCACTGGACCGGGGTAAATTTTCGGAATTTCGACTCGTCTCTGAAGAAACGCGCGGAAACACCCTCGAAGGTCCGCGTGGTTTCGCGAGAAACGATGAACAATATTCATCATAGTTACAATTCCATTGATAACGTGAATAGAAACGAATAACGTAGCGAGGATCGTGATGTATATAGAACAATTTTCGCGATGGAAAAACAGCGACGTTGACGGAGCGCGAGGAAAGGCTGGTCACTTGGACCACCGGTCAAAGATAGTACCATCATGAAAATGTGTTCATTTTGTACATAAATGTAACAGAATTCGAACCGATTAAATGGACGCAATTTAGATTGGTTTAATTTATTTTAGGCTAACAAATGTGTGTGTGTATATATACATATAATATATACACATACACATACACACATATACATATATCTATATATGTATGAGTGCAGCCGTTTTTAATAGATTATTACTGGTGTAGCTAAAAAGATATCCGTTTAAAAACTTTAGGCGGATCTATACAGTCATTCTCCAATCGATATCGTTTCGAACAAACACATAGACACAGTTTATTTCGTTGTACAAGTAGCTGGGAGATTGACTGTAGGGAATGCTACATTTTCGTTGGCATGCAAGCTAAAGATAAAGATTATATTTTGCATACGGTAAGTCAGAGTGAGATATTGGCCAGTAAAAGTTTTAGTATACATATTTATATCAGTATATCATACACTCGCGCAATACATACAGATACATACAAACAAACACGCACGCATATCCAGATATATATATATACGTTTCATCCAATATGATTTGAAATATTTTCACTACTATCGATGGTATGGAAGAATGTGTAAAAAGATATTATTACTATTATTATTACCATTAGTATTATTATTGTTATTAGACTCAATTATTATCGTTATTGTCATTATTAAAAGAGTATCATCATTATTGTTAAGCATTATTTATCAAGTGTTCCGGGAAGAAACCTTCTAAAAAAATAAACGCAATAAATGCAAAAATAAATATATATAGGGTGGATAATTTACGTGATATATACATGTATACTGCACTCCTAAACGTTAAAAAAATTAATTTCTTTCCTTTTATACGGAGATTAAATATGACAATGTGTCTTTTCACATTTGGACATTCTCGCAGTATTATACCATTTGTACAATTCCGTAGTATGTTGCAGCATAATAAGAAAATCTTCTGCGGCTGTTGTCTTTACTTAATATTTTTGTCCGAAATTTAATATCATAGATAATGTTAACTTCTCCATTCAAAACCCATAGAATAATACGCTGCTACATTTCGCGAATCGGCCTTAACGAAGAAACAACATTGAGGCCGATTAATATTTAGTAAAATAAATCACACATTGGTTTATAGATTGCAAAATTGAATTTTTTCCTACAATCATCTTTTTTCAGAAAGATCTTTTGGAAAAAGCCTTTAAGAATGAGCACATTCAAGGAGAAACAAAGAAGTAGCACACGAAAAAAAAATGTATTTCTATTTCTTTAGATATATTCAACATATCTAAATAAATACATAAATTCAGTTTTCACAATTCTGACTACACTTAATTCTTTTGTTTCTCTTTTTTACTAGTCCGGAATATTTCAATTTTGTGATTACTATTTATCATTCTTAATGTCTACGACATTAATTAGTACAATGATATTAGCTATGTAATTCATTGTTAAAGACATTCCAAATATGTAAATTTGTATCTAAATTCAGGAAGAAAGAAGTTGTAAATAAATTTTTATTAAAAAAAAACAAGGAAAAGTCTGGACTGTTATTACAATAAACCAAATGTTTTGTCGACCAGAACGGATTACGACAGGAAAAGTTTAAGTGGCATTTAATAACATAATGGATCAATCTCATTTCTTAATGCGAAAGCGAGCATATCGGCGAACATTCACTTCGAAAAGCTATTCTTTAAATTTGTGTGACTCATGCCTATGACTATTCAGCTCGCCTAAATTGCTCGTGTCACAAATCGCGACTATACTTTCGATGTTAGAGACGTATTGTCTTGAATAATCGGTCGGTTTATAATTATTAGCAATCTCCGGCAATTTTGAACTATAATAGTCATGTACACCTTTTATTTTGTATGTATAGAAAGCAACGGGCTGACTCTACAAGTGCATCGCATTATTCAATCTACATTAATCAACTGCGGAAAGAAGTCAAGCGTTGCAAAGTCGTCAAAAATCAACTCGCGCGACTAACCTTGGCCAATCAATCGTTCTTTTTATATCCAAATTGAGCAGTTATTAATTTGGTTTCTTTAATATCACGCTTGCTATTCGAAAATTTATACAATTTTCAATGTATTAATTTTTTCATTAGTTACGTTACATCAGTTTTTCGGGTCAAAATAAAAGTCGTAATACATCCTGACATTTGTGGCAGATATCTGAAAAGAATTGCATCGAACGTGAACGACTTAAAAATTTTTTTGCTCATTTTATCAACGATATAAATAGGACATTGATCACGTTCTCTCAATACATTAGCCGAGGGGTAAACCGCTCATCAAAATCATGTACACCAATTCCTACTAACGCCCAGTGGGCATTACTTTATCTTATTTGATCTTGTTTTATCTTACTTTTTCTTTTAATGCCCCAGTAAGGCCTAGTGCTCAAACTAATGCCCCCAAAAAAATGCCCAGTAATGCCGCAAATCTGTACGCCACAATGCCCGCAGCGGTTTACCCCTCGACATTAGCCTCCCGCCACGTAATAATTCGGAAAGAGAACGTTGTCTTGATTCACTTGTAAGACGTAAAAAAATGCTGGATTTTCGAGAAAAAGCCGTAGACGTTTTGCGATCAATCTTAAACGGACGACAATATAAGTCCCAAATGATCTGTCCGACAGTTCGAAAAAGTTCACCGAGCCGAGTTTGGCGTATCTGTCATGGGACAGACAGTTGATTCAGTACCAACGATCGAGACCGATGTATACCACAGTATCAGAGTCCACGATACTCGAGTACACGAATCAAGGCGCACGGTTCCCAGCGTGTGCACGTATAGCCGCGCGTATGTACGCACGCACGTACCAATGCAGATAAACGAGCGGGACTTGAGGCAGTGCGTCAGTCCATGGCGACTGGTTATACCAGGCAAGCAATAAGCAATCGCTTAAACCCATCATGACTCTATGCATGAGAGTTGGGCAACAATGCTGCGCCAGCAGGACGATTTTAACCGTGAGCGCGACTCCCGTTTGACACGAGTGAAATATCGATAGACGAGCCGGTTTACGAGTCTGCGACACGATCGCTCGTCGGGCGTTACAACGCGCAAAAGCGAATTTCCACGGGAACGGCGC